CATCAGTTTGTTTTTTCTAATTAAGAGTCTGTTTCTTGGTTTACCTCTCTCTTTTTTCCCCCCATGATCATTTTTTTGTTTCTTAAATTCCACATATGAGTGAAATCATATGCTATTTTCTTTCTCTGACTGACTTATTTCACTTAGCATACTTTTCTAGCTCCATCCACATCATTGCAAATGGTAAGCTTTCATTCTTTTTATGGCTATTATTTCATTGTATATATGTGTACTACCTCTTCTTTATTCATCCACTGGTCAATGGACACTTGGGGGAAAAGAAAGAATACTGGGTGTAAGAATGCTGAGTAGTTGTATGCTACTTTCTTTTCTATTTTGGAACAGTTGTCTTAAGATGTAATTTACTGTCATACATTCACACATTTAAATATAAAAAAATAAAATAAAATAGCTCTGATTTAGAGCTTGAAAGTGGGAAGGCAAGACTAGAAATAAAATGAAAGAACAAAATACTCCAGTCAGCACAGGAGGAAAAGAGAGGAAAGAGTATTTTTATGGTAGTAAGATAAAGCCCAGTCTCCTAAACAGAAAGAGGAAAGCTGCTCTTGTATACAAGTCCCTTCTAGCTTTGCTCTAGGTTTAAACTAATCATTTTCATGACTGGGTGCACAAGTATGTACATCAAGACATATATGTGCACATTCATTGTTTAAGTCAAAAAGTCAGTTTAACTTTCTGAAACTACAATCCTTCTCCAATAAGGACATCAGGTGTTCATGTATTCAGAGAAAGGACAGGTGATTGGAGTTGAGTATTATTATTAAAGAGGGCACATACTGCATGGAGCACTGGGTGTTATACGCAAATAATGAATCATGGAACACTACATCAAAAACTAATGATATAATGTATGGTGATTAATATAAAATAATTAAAAAAAAAAGTAGAGCCAAAATAAACCTAGAGGGATTTCAAATTTTACATCACCACCATCTCAATAGCATCCGGAAATGTAGCACTATGAGATAAAAGAATTCATCAATTTGTAAAAACTAATGAACTAGGCAATCCTAAAGGCTTGGGAGATAGCATTGAGCATAGTGTCAGCTGCGTCTAGGCAAAATAATGTTAGACATGTATATATGTATGTTGTATGTATGCATGTATATATGTGTGTACATATATTGATTCATTAGGTATTTGATTAGTACCTAGCATGAAAATATGGAAAAATTATTACCTAGCATGAAACTATGAAAAATGTAAACTATAATATGGTGAAGAACTTTTTCTTTCTCAAAGCATCTAAGATTGTTTTGGGGTGCTGTGTTATTTACTATATATTAGAAATATATGTATAACACACTGTATTGGGCTGGATGATGTTCCCCCAAAATATATGTCCACATCCTAATCCCCCGAACCTGTGAATATTACTTTATTTGGAAAAAGTCTTTGCAGATAAACTAAGGATCTTGAGGAGATTATCCTGGGTTATTTGGGTGGGCCCTAAATTCAATGACAAGTGTCCTTAAACAGGTACACAGAGCAGAGACACACACAGAGACACAGAGGAGAAAGCAATGTGAAGATGTAGGTAGATACTGGAGTGCTGAGTCCACAAGCCAAGGAACACCAGCATCCACCAGAAGGTGGAAGAGGCAAGAAACAGATTCTCCCCTAAAACCTTGGAAAGGATCACGGTGATGACACAATTTTGGACTTCTGGACTCTAGAGCCGTGAGAGAATACATTTATCTTGTTTTAAGCCACCCAACTGGTGATAATTTGTTGCAGCAACCCCAGGAAACCAATACCCCACATCAAACCCAGAATATAGGTATTTATTTATTTACTTTTAGCTGCACTAAAAGTACTACTTACTACTAAAAGTAAGTAATACTCATAATAAGGATGTTTCAAAAATTGTGTAAGTGGTACATAATAATTAAAGTTTCAGAGACAAAAAATATCAGTGTAAAAACAAGAGATAGTTACATAAATTAGTTGACGACTAGAGAACAAGTACTAAGCAGAGCCACATAAGTAACTGGTACAGATAATTTAGCATTCCAGGAAATCAACTGCACTAAGATTAGTAAGAATAGTTATCAGTGGAAGTTTTATGGAAGAGATGGAATTGAAATTTGGGCCCTAAGAAAAGTTGGGATTTGGTAAATTAGACAGGCTGATTGAAGGACGTTCCAGGCGGAAAGAATGGTGTGGGAAAAGGCGTCACTGAGAACATTTTAGAAATATATGACCCAATTAGATAATATTATTAAAAATTGTTAATTACTTGGGTGTAATATTGTTGATGTACTTATGTATGAGAGTGTCATTTGTAGGTGATGCATGCTGAATTATTTATGGGTGAAGTTTCTCGATGCAAATTACTTTCAAAGGTAAAAAATGAAAGAAAGAGACACAGGGAGTTGAAAGGGGTAGAGAGAGAGTGTGTAAATACATGCAAGTATGTGAGAATATGTGTAAAATTTAACAATATTAAATTGGAGGGGGGAGACATGTATGCTACAATATGAGCCCTAAAGTTGCTCATACACTTTGCCCAACTTCTACGAAATAACCAGAAACTAAAAACAAAAGGCAGTGACAACCAAGTATATTCATTATATTGTACATGGTGATATAGGAATTCAAAGAAGGTTGAGGAGCATGTGTGTACTGAACTAGACAGCCCCCCACTAATCTTATCTCATGACATAAACAAATCATATAATGAGACAAATCAGTAGGCTTCTGCCCACTAGAATGTTGCCAACATTGTATTTTTATAGAACACAAGTTCTGAGCCTTTGTTCCCTGGGACATGGCCAGTGTTCTGTGGCCATGTAACCACAAGCACCCTAGCTTTACTAAAAACATGATATCTTGGAGAAGTCAAGAAACAAAAAAGTTCTTAGATTATCTATTATCCAGAATTTTCTATACATTGAACCAATTTCAAAGTGCCTTCAAATTCTAGAAACTTAGTATACTTAAACAATGCATTGAAAAATAATTTTGGAATTGTACTTAGGTGTACTGAGATTTCAAAATAAGGTATCTATGCATGCTTGACAACATTTCACTGAGTATTTTTTATTACATGTCCAACAGATTTTTGTCTAACACTTATACTCAGCTTCTTTTTAGTATTAATTATGACTTAGCACCAGAAACCAGCAGATGTTCTGCAACAATAAAACAATTAAATAATAAAATAAAATAAAATAATTAGCAAGTGTTGATGTACTAATAGTCCCTAAATGGCAACAGCTACAAGGAAGGTAAATAAAATATTAAATTGGGTTTGGTATTAACACAGTACAAAGGAAAATCACCCCTATGTGCATGTACCTTAAAGTCAATTGTACACCAAAGGCAAAACATTTAATGGTTAAAAACTATTTTTGGTAAAATATGACTCTTAAATGTAAGCCAGATACTTAATCTGGTGACTTAAATAAAGAAACAAAGGGCGCCTGGGTGGCTCAGTTGGTTAAGCATCTGCTTTCGGCTCAGGTCATGATTCCAGGGTCCTGGGGTCAGGTTCAGTGGGGAGTCTGCTTTTCTCTCTTCCTCTGCCCCTCCCCCTGCTTGTGCTCTTTCTCTATCTCTCTCTCTGTCACTCAAATAAATAAAATATTTTTAAAAAGAGAAACAGATAGTTACTGGATACACAAAACTGCATACTCAACTTTATAGACAATTTAAGGGATTTTCAAGGGTAATTTTGACTATATTTGGGTTTTACTCATGGAATGACTTTAAAACTTAAACCTGAACAAAATGGGACTTCCACGTCTAACACAGACTGCTTGCCTGTTAAAAAAATAAAAATCGGGCGCCTGGGTGGCTCAGTTGGTTAAGCGACTGCCTTCGGCTCAGGTCATGATCCTGGAGTCCCGGGATCAAGTCCCACATCGGGCTCCCTGCTTGGCGGGGAGTCTGCTTCTCCCTCTCCCGCTCCCCCCTCTTGTGCTCTTTCTCTCTCTCACTCTCTCTCTCAAATAAATAAATAAAATCTTTAAAAAAAAATAATAAAAATCTTTGTTCTGGGATGTTCCCAAAGTTACAATTTTCTTATCTGTAAGATGGGAATATTAATAATACCTATCTGTGATGATAAATTTTGTGTCAATTTGGGTGGATCACAGTGCTCAGATATTTGGTCAAACATTATTCTGAATGTTTCTGTGAAGATGTTTTTGGGTGAAATTAATATTTAAATTACCGGACTTTGAGTAAAGCAGATTACCCTCCATAATGTGGGTTGGCCTCATTCAATCACTTGAAGACCTTAATAGACAAAGACTAAGCTCCTCCAAGCAAGAAAGAACTCCTTCACCCAACTGCTGTTGGAACTGCAACTCTTCCCTGGCTCTCCAATCTGCCAGCCTACCCCTATTAAATTTTAGATTCATCATAATTCTATAGTCATGTGAGTCAGTTCCTTAAAATCTCTCTCTCCCTCTCAATAGCTAGGTAGATAGATATATTTTATTTTATATATAAATATATATGTATATATGTGATACATACATTGTTATCTATATCTATAGATATAGAGATATAGTTTGTGTGTATATACATACATATATATACATATATGTAGATGGGGAGAGAGAGGGAGATATTGAGACATGCACATTCTGTTGATTCTGTTTCTTTGGAGAACCTAAATACAGTATCCAACAGAGTTATTACGAAGATTAAATAAGATAATGTTTTTAATCTTCAAAGTGTCTGAAATGTGGAACAGTGTTAAGTAAATGACTGCTATTGCCTACCAAGTGTCTAACTTGCCCCTATAGCCTTGACCCTAGAGGTTATATTTCTTTTAGGCCAGATCTATTCCAGTATTCAGACCTGAAACCCAGGCTTTCAAGTACTTCTTAGAAACCTTCCTTCCTTCACCCCTTTTCAGTTCCCAACATTGTTAGAAAAAAAAAAAAGAGCTTTAGCTCTATAATGATTACCAGGTACTCAGCACTATTATAGCTCAATATTAGTATCTCATTTTCCTGATAACTGACCTGTTTGAAGCCATGCATTGAGCCACCTTCTGAATTAAGTTGGACTTCCAAGTTGTTTATGAGTTGATCCATATCTGGATAAAAGGCAAGGGACACACAATTTTAGAATAAGATCTAATCCACTATATGCATACAGTATGCCATTTACCCTTGGTTATACCTGTTTGCATTCTATGAACATCATTTTTCAGGACTTACTAGATATTGAGAAGTCAGTGTTTGGATAACATTCTAATTTGTATATTCTACTCATCAAGATGGCCCTGGCTTGTCCCCAACAATATTAGCTGCCCCCCACAAATCCTATATACATGAGAATCTGCTTCTTCCAACTACTCCAACCAGCCCTACCTACAAAAGATCCTGTATGAATATTTACCCTAATGAGCTTCTAAACACATTAGCACCAAATCTCTCTAAGGAAGTATTTTCTGTCTATCTTTCTTAAACACACAAGCTAGGTGGAGTTAATATGAGCAGTCTTCTATTTCCCTGTTCATTTGTCTTTCTATAAAAAGAGAGACTCAGTGGCCTCATTATGCTGCCCTATCTACATCGTCATAATCATTCCTACCAGAAGCACATACCAGTACTTCTTTAACCAGATTTCCTTCGATCTATCTACAGTTTAATCTCACTAAAGAGGAAAACATAGGGCAAGGAAGATAAATCCACAGCTTGCTTATAACTTAGTTGATCAGATTTTGGATTATTCTAAGTGTCTCCAAATCAATTACAATTTAAGACCTGATTGTGTTTCAAAAGGTAGTCCATAAATCAGTTAATCGTTTTCGATGTCAAATACTTTTACCCATAAAAGTGTCCATTTTATAGGTTACTTCACAATAGCCATTTAATACCTAATGCAGTTAAAATACAACAAATATACAATGAGCAAAGAGACAAAATTATAATACAGCCACACAAAAAAGCAAAAAATAAACCTAAAAATAATTCCTTTATTTTTTGAATGTCAGGAATTAAGGAAACCAGTCCTAATTTGATGGCAATAACACACAAAGAATCTTCTATTGAGATGATGAGGAAAACTTTTGTGCCACTACCAAAGAATCTGGAGAATTTTGACACATTAAAATAGCTTCAATTTAGGGGCGCCTGGGTGGCTCAGTTGTTAAGCGTCTGCCTTCGGCTGGGATCATGATCCTGGGGTCCTGGGAAAGCCCCACATCGGGCTCCCTGCTCAGCGGGAAGCCTGCTTCTCCCTCTCGCACTCGCCCTGCTTGTGTTCCCTCTCTCGCTATGTCTCTCTCTGTCAAATAAATAAAATCTTTAAAAAAAATAGCTCCAAGTTAGCTACAGTGTATTATGCTAAGAGAAATAAGTTAGTCAGAGAAAGACAAATACCATATGATTTCACTCATATATGGAATTTAAGAAACAAAACAGATGAACCTATGGGATGGGGAAAAAAAGATAGAGGGAAACAAACCATAAGAGAATCTTTATAATAGAGAACAAACTGAGGGTTGATGGAGGGAGGTGGGTGGGGGATGGGCTAGATGGGTGATGGGTATTAAGGAGGGCACTTGTTATGATGAACACTGGGTGTTGTATGTAAGTGATAAACCACTGAATTCTACTCCTGAGCCAATATTGCACTGCATGTTAACTAACTATAGTTTAAATAAACATTTGGAAAAATAAAATAAAAAAATAAAATACCTCTGATTTTATCTCAAAACACATGGATTTTCTTTTCTTTCATCCAAGTATATGAATAGAACTGCTCACATATACATCCATCATTTACCAAATATTTACTGCATAATTACTGTGTGTCAGAGGTTATGCTAGGCACATTGTTATCAGTTTGGGATCTGGATCAACCAGACATAGAGTCAGCAAATGTAGCAGAGAGCACTGACCTGAGAGCTAGATGCCCAGGGATTATATCCTATAATCTTTGTCAAGGCCTTTTCATGTAAGCCTCAACTTCTCCATCTAGAATTAAAAGATTTCAAACTGTTTTCTGCAGAGTCCTAAGGCTTCTCTGAAGCCTCTTGGAGGGTGAGGTCAGGGTTGATGGAGGAAGAAGCATATATTTTTTAATTTATTTATTTTTATTTATTTATTTGACAGAGAGAATGCACAAGCAGGGTGAACAGGAGAGGGAGAAGCAGGCTTCCCGCTGAGCAGGGAGCCCAATGTGGGGCTCGATCCCAGGACCCTGGGACCATGACCTGAGCCGAAGGCAGATGCTTAACCAACTGAGCCACCCAGGTGCCCCAAAGAAGAAGCATATTAAGGAATAAGCACAGAAATCAGACACAGAAAAATCCAATTTCCATTAAACTGTAAGCTCTTTGCAGGCAGGGTTTTTAATCTTTGATATTTTTTTCCACTGATGTATTTCAAGGGGTTAGAATAGTACCTGGCATATGATAGGTGTTCAAACACATACCTGAAGGTTTTTGATGAATGACAGAAAAGGAGAATGAGGAAGTGTGTTTTCCCAAGTACAGGAATTGGACAAGAGTGAAAGAATGAAAGAAAATTAGAGACATTGTGTATAAGAGATGTTTGAGGTGTAATTAACTGTGAAGTATGAGGTGCCAGAGAGGGCAGCTTGTTCTGATTTCAAGGAGGGAAAAAGGGGATGCAAAGGCAGAAAAAGAATGTTAGGTCAGATGACTGTCATATAGTCCACAGGGGGGCACCACGGAACCAGGAGAATTTGCTTGGTTGCTGCCAGAAACATTTGTAGGAGAGAGTGAGTGAATTTGGTTCTTTCCATTCACCTATCCTTTCACTAGATGTCATCATTTTTAGCCAGACCATCTTACAAAAGCCATATCCTATCTGGTCTTCTTTAATTTCTATGGCTTATAAGACAGCAGGGCTGAGGAAGCAGAGTGACTTTGACAAGATATTTATTCCCTATAAACCTAAGACTTTTCACCTGCCAGAGGCAGGGTGGTGGTGGTAGTACTGATTTAATAGGGTTAATATGAGGATTCCTTGAATTACACTTAAAACAGTTCTTGTCATATAAAAAGTTCTCAATAGCTATTATTATCATCACTACCATTATTATTGTTGATGGCCAGAATCTTTAGCCTTAGCCCAGTAGGTTATCTCCTAGGCATCAAGCAAGTCTTTCCTACACAATGTGTTCACAAACCTCTCCATATCTTATGTTTACAATCTCAATTTTTAGCACCACCATCAGTCTAAAAACCTGAGAGTCAGTCACCTTTGACTTCATTCTCACCATCTCCAGCCAACTGGTTATCAGTTGCAATTAATTCTACAGCAGAAATATCTTTTAAATGTACCCCTTCATCATCTTCTAGTCACTTCTCCTTCTAGCCATGGTAAAAAGGTGTGGGCTCTAGAGTGAGTGCCTACAGTCACATCCTGGCTCTGTAACTTCTTTTTTTAAAGATTTTATTTATTTATTTTAGAGAAAGGCAGGGGGAGGGGCAGAGAGAGATGGAGAGAGAGAATCTCAAGCAGACTCCCTGCTGAGTGTGGTGCCCCAAGCAGGGTTCAATCCCACAACCCTGACACCATGACCTGAGCTGAAATCAAGAGTCAAGTCCCATGCTTAATGGACTGAGACACCCAGGCACCCCCTGCTTCTGTAACTTCTTAACAATAAGAACTTGGACAAGTTTTTTCTACCTCCCTCTGTCTGTTTCCCCATCTGCAAAAGGGGAATAATAGTAGTACCAGCTTGTAGAGTTGTCATAAGGATTTATCAAGTTAATATGCATTCAAGTATTTACAACACTTCCTGGCACAAAGAGGCATTGTCTGTCTGTTTCCCTGACCATCAGGTGAGCCCCCCAGTAGTTAACTAGTAACTATTACCTACCTTCTTTTGTATCTTTTAGCAGAGTATCTCCTCTGCTAAATAATGTGCTATTAGTGTCCAATGTGCTAATTAATGTCCAATGAATGAATGATAGTGGGAATAAGGAAGGGTATTTAACAGCAATTATATTATAATATTAGATAATACCAATATTATTTAATAGCAATAATCAAGGAGTCTGGGTAATACTTATTGCCCCACTCATACCACCAATATTTTAGTCAAATGACATAAGGGAGATAGCTGACAATTAGGAATGTCTCAGCCATTTCTGCTTAGTATCCTCTCACTTGAAAAACAGCCAAACTGGAATAGCCAATAGGTAACTCTTAGATAACTCTGGACAACATTCTAAATGTTAGTGGGAGTATATATAGAGAAAGCTATCCGAAAGGTGTGTAAACTCTTCCTTTAAAAAAATGTTTTAATATTTACTCAGCCAAAATTTAAAATTGAAGGAAATTTGGGCCTATAGAATGGTCTTAAAGAAAGCTCAGTTTTTCTAAAAAAAAAAAAGAGAGAGAGAGAGAGAGAAAGAGAGGACTTTTTAAACCTTTTGCTTTTCTCTAGAGTTGGAGCTTCTGCTGTGTCTGGAACCAGACAGTTGCACAGAAGCTGTGAAGAAAGTGGTGAGGAAATGTCCAAAGGGATTTAAGGTATGTCCTGGGCCATTGAGATGTGTATTATACAGTCAGGAGGGCTTTAGAAATACAAATTACCTACTTGAGATAATAACCATCTTTCTGCCTGGATTGGCTCTTCAAGCATTTGTGTCTGGAAGCTGGACTTTTTGGTCCTTCCCCTGAGGGAGTACTAGAGAAGGAAATAGAGGAGGAGATAGGGAGGACTGAGCCTCATCCATAGCGGGTCAATGTCTCATATATGCAGAAAATCACAAACCATATTCCAGGGACTATGATCAGAGAAATTTGATTTGGTTACTTTATCTTCATCATGTTTCCAGGTTTATTTTGTTACCAAAGTGGCATTTTCCACAGTGATCTGTTTGTTTTATGAAAGTGAACAGTTTGTTTAAGGTAGAGGAGCAGATGGCTGGCTAATAGACCATATCTCACTCTTCGGTCAGCCCTGAGAGGGAAAATGTCTAGGGACAAAAGTGAGCAGTTAAACCTTTAAGGTGGAAACCAAGGAAGAGTCATTGGGATGTACAACTTCAAAATCAAGCAAAACACTGGGGACCCTAAGAGACTTAAGAAAGTACCCAGTGTCTAAACA